TCACTCACCCTATACATATTAGATAAGAGGAACAACAACCCAGACTAATCGATGAAGAAGCAATATTTCAAAAGGTCCCACATGCCTGACCGAAATCGGCGTCTCTGCTAATTTCGATCCCTCGTAGGATTCAGGGTGGATTTTATCGGTTCAGTTGAAACCTGCTTGGAGAACCGGAATCGATATTATAACAGTTTTCAGCTGTTGTCTAAAACAGAGCCTTTAGCTATTGTCAAGTGGGAGCACGTTCGTTGGAAAGCATCATGGCCCCTCGATAAAGCGAGACACCCAAACCTGCTGGCTCGCTCCCCAGATCAGCCTATTAAATGGATGGCGAGTGCCAGCAATATTGAGTTACGTGGCAATACCCTAAATTGCTTGACCGACCAGCATCGCCATAAGCTCCACACGGTCTTCACTTGCTCGCTGGTCGCTGGCATCGATCGCACGATAATTACTGCGCTGCTGAGTGCATGACATCCTTGGGTTGTTACCTGCGAGAAATTGTAACTGACAAAGATCCTTGCCTACGGTGTCGGCTCGGTGTGGAAATTCAGATGGCGCCAAAGGGGGTCGATAGAGTTCGTGACCATAATTCCTTGGGTGGTTCCCTTTATCTTTGCCGGTAGCTCGGTACTTGTTAATTATAATTCTTACTGATCTAAAGAAAACTGCCCTAAACTTTGAGTGGGCACGTGAACGAATATCTTTGTCTTTTATCTAAAGTGAGCCAAGAAGATGGCGGACCATGGTAATTAAAATTGTTGGATCGATGTTATTATTCTTCCAAGTATTACATAATCGAAGAGTAAGGTACTCTGATTAAATTGGCAAGAATAAATAAGATGCACACTTGTAACATATGGACGCATTTGATTAATAATGTTTGCAGATGGATCTGCAGCTTTCAGGTATATACCGTCTGAAACTTTCAGTAGACGTTCTTTGAACGCCGCAGATTACTTCATTAAACGAGATACAAATTCTGGTTCATCTCGAAGGATAATTTTAGTTTTGGACGGTGAGGATTACATTTACTTTGACCGGGGAAGTTTGATAGCTTCCAAGATGACTGGGAAACGTCGACGGCAGACAGACGGAAAGAATTAATCAAAGAAAGTTTTTCTTCGGGAAACGATGACTACCGAACACGGCGACGGTGACGAAATTTAATTTAAGTTATTACCTGTCCGTGGATAAATATTTCAAGGCGAACAAAAGTTTCGAGGAACGTTATTTTCTATGGATATTAAAAACAGTTTTAACAGGACCGTTCAATTCCGAAGAAGGATTCCATCCCCCGCCATTTTTGTTCCCGAGCAAGCTAATATTCTCGAACGTTTATAGATGCTGTAGCGATTACCTTTATGAGAAGCTCCCTTCGGTATAAAAATATTACCTTAATTATCGTCTAGAGACATCGTATCGGAATTCTTTAAAAGTTCGTCAAGCGTTCCACGCGAGCTGGATGAAACCGTGTTCAATCTCGTAGTAATTTCCTAGTCGATGGGACGGTATTTAACGAACCTGGATGGAGCACAATTAGCTATTTAGGTTTATAGATAATCGTATTAGTAACGAGATTAACAAATATCGAAATGAGATCAGAGACCATGTGAATTACAGTCGCATTTTTAATATAGAAATATAGTCTGTGCTTACTTCTGTACATAGGGTGTATAGTTGAAGAGCACGTAACAAATTAAAATTTTGTATTCACGAAATTCGCAGATTCAAAGTCCTTTATAGTGACAAAATAAAATCCTGTCCAAATACCATAACTTTACTTAAGTTGTGTCTCTTTCTAAGTAAAGACGAGATATGTAAATAATCCTCAATTGGTGACTCGAAAAACCTCAGAAGTCACTCAAGAACACCTATTCAGCCTCTCAATTCTGAATTCAAACCTATCGAATTCAATCATCAACAGCTGTCACGATCGGCCATAATGAAAACCGCAAAACGAGACGCGTTCAAACGCCTTCGTCGCAAAGCATCCCCTTAGTGGGTCGGCCCACGGAATCGAAGTATATACGTTGGCGAGGGGTAAACAGGGCATAGCTCATGTCCGAAATTACAATGCCAGGCAGCTGGCCGTGATCTGTTAAGGGTCGCCTTGACTAACGACCGATAGAGAGGCCGATCGCGGGCCGATCGGTTTAATTGAATCGTAAATTGACATCAAACAACGATCCCCGGAATTTGTCGGTGCCCGTTTCGATGCTGATCGAATTCGAACGGCTGGAAGAGTTCCTCGAAGACGCGCGCGCACGCGGCGCAGTAATCACGCACACCACCTAGCGGCCGCTCGCGGCAACGTCCGCCGACATTTTGCCAACTTACACGCGCCGTTGGCGAATTTCGATTGGACCGAGTTACATCCACGGCCGGGGGCGAGAATTCGATTATAACTCGGAGAATGCTTATCGTTTGATCGAATCGAAACTGAAACAACTTGGAAATTACTCGAGAATTGAATTCGCAACGTGGCTGGTGGTCGAATTTCGCGAACCGGGGATAGCCCGGCGTAATTATGCAAATGAAAGAGTTACCATTGGCCGGCGATTTATGTGCCGGGCGAACGAATTTGGGCAACGACCGTGATTATCTCGCGAATTTCTGGGAGGCCGTTGCCGCGAATCCCAAGGTAAAATTATTTCTGTCCAGGTGCCGGGTAATTGCTTTTTTAATTTCATTATGGGAACTAATGTGTACCTGCACTGTGCAAATTCTCCTTGCTCGCTTGTTATTGGTGGTACGTAGGTTTTGCGATTGGTAGCGTTGCTAATTCTGCTAAATTGTGCTAATCGTGAGATAAAAATTTGGTAGGAACGATATTATCGCTCATTTTGTGCTGCATTTATGGTGTTATACTTTCATCCTGCTCTTAGAGATTTGGATTCCTCGTTTATTTTTAACGGCTTTGTATCTGTGTATCTAGCAAGATGTCCTCCTCGATTTCATCTCTCATAAAATACTTTCTTTAGAAGATAAATTAAAATTGAAATTAAAGTAAAAATGTTGAGAAAAGAACGTTATCTTGTCTTCTTCATACAGTTTTTCCATATTTTCTTGAATTATTTGAATTGATATATTATATTATGATTAGCAAAGCCCCTTTGAACGATCAAATCTCGATTATCAACCCCATAATAATTGTCTTATTTGCACTTGGAAGAGAACGAGTATCAATGAAAATTCTGCAGTAGAGTAATCTCTATTTTCTCACTCTCTGGCAACCTTTGAAGGCAACTTGGTAGATTTATTAGCAACGGCTGTCGATACTTACATCGCACTACTAATTTACAAAGTTCAGTGCATTGTGCCCGGGGACAATTAAGCTTAATGGCTTCGAGTCGGTCCGGCGAGATGGTCGCAAAGAACAATGCGCCGATATCGAGCTTTCATTGTCCCTGGATAAGGGACAATCCCAGGGCCGGCTAATAATTAAAATAGTTCCCGTGTAACTTTCAGCCGGCAGTTTCCCTCGACTTTCGCGAGTACACCCCCGGTTGCAAGGCTGGATTCTTATTAATTACTTTGTCTTAATCTCGGCTCCTTCTGATTTAGCGTGCCCCGTGTTTAAAAACCCTGGCCAGAAAATGGCGCTTGCAAATTGTACCTTTGTTCCACAAACGTTTGGCGTGCAAATACACTCGAATGATTTGTCTTAATTTAGTGATCAAAAATTGAAAGTGAATAATTAATAATTGGAATTAAAATTGGAATTAAAGTAATATTTGTTCTATCGATATTTTTAGTTTATAAAACAAATTTGTGATGAAGGATTCACCCAATTTTGGTTCACGTTTATTTAACTCTTTGTATTTCGAGATATTTTTATTATTTTTAAGTTTTAAGTAGTAGAGAGCTACGTTTGGTCAGACGTCTTATGTTTCCAAAACGATTTACAGTTTTCTCTATAATATACTTGTTATTTCTTTGGTGATTTCGACTGAAAGGTACTAAAACTCCAGTAATAATAATTGAAAATAATAAATATTATAAAAATAATAAAATAAATAATTAAAAATAAAATTCCAGTGATTTTATTCTTCACTGTTAACGTATCAAGCTCCATTGCTCTTTTATAAAGTATCGATATATTTTCTTTCATTGCGATTCATTGGATTTCCTTATCGTAGTAAATTTTATTACAATGTTTGTCTATGGTTGCAAACATATTTACCCAAAATTTTCTGCATCAAAGCGAATTAATTTCTAATACGATGCATGCATTTGCGAAACAACGTGTATGCTATGAATTAGGAATTCGTATTAGAATTCTGGGAATAACTGGGATCTAAAGGAGAACGTTTATTAATCTAACTGAAGCAAATTATTACAACACGATTTACATGACTTCACTCGCTATTCAAACTCCGCATAATAATTGTTTATTCGCTTTCACCCGCTGCTTTCACGCAACCGTACCTCACACACCAGAGTGCTTTCGTTCGCTCACGTGCATCTAATTCTAATTTAACATTCAAACTGCTCAGCAACGTTAGAATAATCATTTCCTCATTTTGACATTTTTCTTTTAAAGGCAACATCAAACCCTTCTTCAATGTTCCGCCTTATTCGAAGCTTCATTTCAAAATCTACCACAATTCTCTATTATTTTTATTCTTAAAACGATACAAATCCATCCTTCAATGTTTCAAAATATTCTAATCTTCATTTTAAAATTTATCTTAAAATTCTCCAATTTTTCTTCTTGAAATAATATAAATCTTTTTATTTGACATTTAAAAATACTCAAAAATCATTTCCAATTTTATCACGAGTTGTACTATTTTTCTTTTCCCAGTATTCCAATATATCCAAAATTTTATTTCGTGCTCCATCTAAAAGTTACGCCATTTTTCTTTTTAAGATCTCCTTCCAAATGCATTTTACAATATTCCAAGATATTTGGAGTTTCATTTCAAAATTCGCGTCGTGAAATTATACCATATACACGGTTCGATAATTCCCATTAAATTCTCAAAAATCCTATGCTTCCTTTGACAGCCGAAACGCAGCTTGGCAAGCAAAGCATTTTGGAATTCCGGACGCTGCACATCGGTGGCTACTTGCACGCCGGGGAGGAAATCCCACACTTCGTTGGTCAGGTGCAGCAAATCTGGTTCAACGGCTACCCATACCTGGAAATAGCACGGAGCTCCGGAAATCATCAGGCCTCTCATCAAGGCGTAACGCCGATCATCAGGGTCACGGGAAAATTCGGCAAGAGGAACCATCCAGTCCATTATCCAGTGACTTACACGTCCAAGCACACGTTCGTCGGGTTACCTGTGCTGAAAGCGTACGTGGAAACGAACATTTACTTCCAGGTAAAATTTTTCCACCAATTTCTCTTTCTCTACTTTTCTCTATTTTCCTCTCTTTTTCTCTTGAGAAATCGAAGTCCGATATTTCTTCCCTTTATACGGCGTAGAATCTCGTGTATTCTATTCAGGAATTTTAACCTCAAAATTGCTGATAATTAAACTCGGTCAGTAATAATTGGTATTAAATTTACCAAAAATAGTTGCACATTTATAGTCATTGAAAGCACGAAAAATCTGAGAGAAATTATTTTCTGGTGTTGCTAAAAATAAATATAGAGTAGTGAGATAATAGTGGTTAATTTATGTTACACGTGGAGGGATTTAAATAGGATTTAAATAGATTACGAATAAATGTCGAGAAATAGGCAAATTAATAAAATAGTCAGTGATTTAGAGGTCGTAAGAAATAAAGAAAAAATAGGAAAGGAAATACAGCAATACAGATAAATAATAATAAATAAAATAATCCGAAATAATGGATTTACAGGAATAAAAGAGAAAATTTATTAACCCTTTGCACTCGAGAGACGACTCTCAGTCGCCATTTAATCAAATTTTAAAGATCGTTATTAATTAATATCACAACTTTAAAATTGCCCAACCATACGTGGAATATCAAAGCAAAATAATTCTACGTCTTATTGTTAATTTGCACTCCTTATTTACCGTTTTGAAAATATCGTCGACTTCATGGCAGTCTTTAAATTACTATGTTTCTCTAACGAAAAGATCACCGAGTGCAAAGGGGCTAAAATAAGTGTACTCTGATATTTCGCTGACGTTTTGTTTAAAATATGGAAGCTTCGCAGCTCTTAAAATTATATATCGCGTAACAAACACGAGTTCGAAGTTCGTGGTATATAAAGGTTCAAATGTTTGACTACTGAAAACCGCAATTTATTTCTGGACAAGCCAGTAACTGCAGTGCTGGCGAAACGTCAGGACATAATTCGTACTGGACACGGCTTACACCTGGAAGCCTCGAATAGAAGCAACTGTCGCAAGTCCAGACCACGAAAGCCTGAACTTCTTCGTTCCCTAGATCCTGGCAAATTCACACCAAGTTCCCACGCGATCTCGAAACAGTCGCTCTCGATGCAGTAGCATATGGAAAATTTATTTCCTTTTAAAATATTTCGCGTCCCCATTGTCCGCAGAAATTATTATTCCCCTGTTGCAAACATGTGCCAATCGAGTGTCCAATTTTCGAAATGTCTCTCTGGTACTGTTCAACTTTTCTAAAAATACTGTAATTTTCACGTTCAGAGACGTTTCAATACTACTACAAATTTCTAGTTTTTAAAAATATTTTCGAAATTTCGAATTTTTATCTTCAAAAGTATATTCGTAGTACCCCTAATTTTCTCTTATAGAAATATTCATATATTCCTATATCCAGTGTTCAGTGAAAATACATCTTGAAGGCACTGAATTTCTTTTTTGGGGGATGTGGAAGTACATACAAGATACCCTACATCCACTGAATCTAGAATTTTTATCTCTAAAGGTACCCCAAATCTTCGTTATCAAAGGTATATCCACAGCACCCTAAATTTTCAGTTTGAAAAATGCATCTACGAGGCACCAAATTTCTATCTTCAGTGATACACCAGTTTCTTCAAATTTCCATCTCCAGAAGTACATCTACAGCACCCCTCTATTCGATTTTCAAGAACACATCCACGAGAGCCAAAATTTGTACGTTGAAGGATACACCCAAGTCTTATGAATTATAAATTTCCATCAGTAGTTTCAACTCTGCCTCCCAAAATTTTCATCTCTTTACCTACACCCACAAAATCTTCCATTCGTACTTGCAAAAGTACACGCCGAAAGGGCAAATTTCCTCAGCGAAAAGTGAGAGCCAGGTTGTGCAGCTGCCAAAATACCTGCGCGTCACCCTTTACGTGAAAATCCGACCGCCCTACGAAGCACAGTTTAAATATCCCGCAAAGGTGGTTCGGTTGCATGTCGGAAAATGCGCATGCCGCTGAGGGGGCCACAGAGGAAATGAAATGTCAACGGTGACGCGTCCCCACAAAAGGTTAGCCCAATTAGACCCTCTCCCCCGGAGCCGGTGCTCGCGACTCGTTGCACAAACTCCGGATTAATCGTGGCACGTGTCACGGTGGCACACGTAAAAACCCAATCATGCCTCGTTCTTCCGTGCCAAGTGACAGACGAGCTTCTCTGGCCGTCACCTTCGTAATTACGCCGGACCCGGTAATTGACAGCTTTCTGCTTTTCCCGTTGCCTTTCGTCGCACTTCCGGCAGCCACTGGCTCATCGTAGTCTCTCAGCTGGTCCAGCTTTGATACCCGTGGAAAAGCGCGATCGGCTTTCGTAATCGAACGTATACTCGTTACGGTCCATCGCTCGTTGCACACCTTTGTGTAAACGTCCCTGGTGGCTGGCACGAGAGGAGACGACGAGCAAAAATTCCTGGCTGGTGGCGATCGAGTGGTGACCTATTTTGACACCGTTCTTTTTCTAAGGAAATTCGCGATATTTCGAGATTCGTAGATGGGGTTGACGAGAAGGTGCAATTTTTGTTTAACCCTTGCGGTACGAGTGCGCTGTCCGCCATGAAAAATTCGTGGTTGGTGGCGATCGAGTGGTGGTCTATTATTTTGACGCCACTCTTTTCGTAAGCAAATTCGCGATATTTCGGGATTCGTAGATGGGGGTTGACGAGAAGGTGCAATTTTTGTTTAACCCTTCCGGTACGAGTGCGCTGTCCGCCATGAAAAATTCGTGGTTAGTGGCGATCGAGTGGTGGTCTATTTTGACGCCACTCTTTTCGTAAGCAAATTCGCGATATTTCGAAATTCGTAGATGGGGTTGACGAGAAGGTGCAATTTTTGTTTAACCCTTCCGGTACGAGCGCGTTGTTCGCCATGCAAAATTCGTGGCTGGTAACGATGGAGTGGTGGTCTATTTTGACGCCACTCTTTTCGTAAGCAAATTCGCGATATTTCGGGATTCGTAGATGGGGTTGACGAGAAGGTGCAATTTTTGTTTAACCCTTGCGGTACGAGCGCGCTGTTCGCCATGAAAAATTCGTGGCTGGTAACGATGGAGTGGTGGTCTATTTTGACGCCACTCTTTTCATAAGGAAATTCGCGATATTTCGGGATTCGTAGATGGGGGTGACGAGAAGGTGCAATTTGTAAGGGGTTTACAAAGCGAGGGCTAGGTCGCAAGTCTAACTCTTGGTGGCCGATTCGATATTCTTTCGTCGCTACTAGGTACACACGCTCTCGTCTTTCAAAGAACTGTCTAAGAACTGTTTTCTGATACTCTTTCCTAAGGACTGTGTCGCTACGCTTTTCGGCCTACCCTTTTAAGGGTGGGCCTCGTGGTCTATGGGCCTAAGTAGTCGTCACTCGCCGGCTTATTGGTAACCGGAGCTCGCACGCTTTTCCATACTCTTAGAAATTTTTGTTTAACCCTTTCGGTACGAGCTTGCTATCCGGTCGTGACACTCCCGCTATATGGGGTGCCGTCGTCACATGGTCAGTCCATGAAGATTTTCTTAAGCGTTGGATAAGAACTGTTGTTGCAGTCCTAGGACTGCAATGTCCCAGGTCAAGTGGAGGACTATTTTATGTTCTTATTGCCAGCGTCCCTTGACTTCTATACGCTCATTATCACCTAAGCCATCACTTGGGTAAACCGTTACAAGGATCATATATCTCCCTTAAGACGATGGATATAGGAACCCGAAAAACAATCCTTCACTTCACCTGAGACATTGCGATCCTAGGGCCACAGCAATTGTTCTGAATAACACAATGTTTTTTCCAACAAGTATTGTTTGTAGCTTTAATATTAAAAGATGTTTATATAAAACTATACACTTATGTCGGATATATCCGGCGCTCGTACCGAAAGGGTTAATTATAGGAGTGAGGTGATATACTGTGAGTTTCTGACCAATTAGGTAATTTCGTAGACGTTCATAGACGATACATAGTCTATTAAAAATTCAACTATTAGGAATGTTAGTATCGTACAGGTGTGTGTGAACGTCTCGTTTTATTTTATTCTTTTTTAGTGGTTGTGACCGTGTCTGTGTGTCAGGGTTATTCGAAGCTGAAAAGGTCAACAGAGTAGTATTAGATTATGTAATTGCATCGAGCGGCTGAGCGAATTATATTGTTTCATTTGGATACTGTTTACATAGGGTACTGATTGGGTAGTGCAAGCTGATATGGCAAATATATATTGCTATAGTCTATCGTTGATGTATCATTCGGTGAGGATACTAGATTTATTGATAATTCATTTTATAAGTCAATTTGAATTATGTCATTACTGCTCGTTGGATAGGATTATTGACATATTAAACCAAATATATTAAATCACGATCAAATTTGACGCAAATCTTTCGAAGGAAAAAGGAAAAGGAAAAACTGACCATCGCAATAGAACTTGCAAGTCTTTGCGAAGAGAGCTGAGCGAAACGATAGCACTGATCTTAATTTTTGTGACCGGTAACTATCGTCACCCGTAGTAGCGAAAGGATTAACCCTTTGCACTCGACGATTTTTTGGCTGAAGAAGAGTAGGGGTTCAAAAATTTTCTGTCATTAAGCTGACGATAGTTCGTTCAGCAGTAAATAAGAAATCGAGTAATAATTAAAACGTAGAATTATTTGCATACCGTTACATTATCTGAAATTTAGTATGTTAATTAATATCGATCTTCGAAATTTTATCTAATGGTGACTGAAGGTCACCTATTGAGTGTAAAAGGTTAACAACCATGAAGCGAGCTAAGCGAAACGATAGTACTAGTCTTAATTTTTGTGGCCTCTGACTATAGTCACTCGTCGTGTGTAAATGGCGTCTCGTGGCCGGTGACTATAGTCACTCACAGTAGCAAAAGGGTCGAGACTCTCTATTAATCGACTAATTAAAAACGTACATATCTCTGTCATTCATTTCTTTGCAAAAATCGCGAAGATCGTATCTTCTCACGAATTACAACGATAATTTTATTCCCCGAAACGACATTTCCACCTAAGCCACTCCAAATCACGATCCTTGGTCATTTCCCTTCCAAAACATTACCCACGGTCGTCCACATTCCTCAGTCCGTTCGGCTCGCCTTTGTAAACACGGGAACGACGTTTACAAACGGAATTTACGTTTCGCTTTGCCGCTGACTCGACGTTCCTCGCCTTACAGTTCAAAACACGAGAGGCCAACGGCTTAATTCTGTTCAACGCCGGTCGCGAACGCGACTTCATCGCAGTGGAGCTGGTAAACGGGCACATTCACTATGTGTTCGACTTGGGTGACGGCCCGGTCAGGGTCAGGGACACATCGAGGTCTAGGCTGAACGACGGAAAATGGCACGCAGTGAGCATCGGTAGGCCGGCACCTAAGAGGCACACGCTCGCTGTCGACGACCACGTGACAGCTGTCAATAGCCAGGGCAGCAACGAGAATCTCGACCTGGATGGCATCTTGTATGTCGGTGAGTGAATTTATATACATTTATGCGCGCACTACGAACAAACATTTCGTCCTTGAAAATCATTCGCGTTACACTCCCCGACTCTGCGATACCGGTACTCCGTGTCTGACATAGAAAGTGGAAGAAAGAAACCGTTTAATTTAGAGAAATAAATTATTTTCTTTCAACTAAACGAATTTAAGGTTAACCACTAGTTTCGCTAATCGTGACAGGTGTCATTATAGGGACCAGTGAAGTGACAGGGAATATTTAACCATATGCACCCTTAATTTTTATCAGAGGAACTCCTAGGTAGAATTATATTCGACATTTTTGGATATTTTGTTTACCGAACAGGAAATAAGTATGAATACTATACTTGAAATAAATTATTTTCTTTCAACCGAACGAATTAAAAGTTAATCAGTAGTTTCGATGAGCGTGACAGGTGTCATTATAGGGACCAGTGAAGTGACAGGGAAGATTTAACCATATGCACCCTTCATTTTTATCAGAGGAACTCCTAGGTAGAATTATATTCGACATTTTTGGATATTTTGTTTACCAAACAGGAAATAAGTATGAATACTATACCTGAAATAAATTATTTTCTTTCAACCGAACGAATTAAAAGTTAATCAGTAGTTTCGATGAACGTGACAGGTGTCATTATAGGGACCAGTGAAGTGGCAGGGAAGATTTAACCATATACACATATATTTATTTATAGTTATATTATATTATGTATACTATATAAATAGTACCATATTATTAGGAGTTATACTTGACATTTTTGGAACAGAAAATAAGTATGAAATACTTATGAATATATTATACTTATTTATACTTATTTATATATATTGTGTATATCATATTATATATACTATATAAATAAGTACGAATAAGCAGAAAATAGGTATGAAAAATAATTCAGGATGCAGAGGGTTAACGTACTAAAACGAATTCTCTTTTTCGCTTTGAGTATTTCCAATTTATACGCAGTTATCCTACAATTAATATCGCATAATCGTATTACAAAAATTCTCGCAGAACGTACGCAATCAGACCTCGCGGATTTTCGATACCCAGCTGTTATCTCGTTGATAAATTGAAATTACGTAAGGTTAACCGAGATAATCGTTCGATGAGATGATTTATAAGACAAGGAAGGCAACAATTCACCTGTCCCGGCGAAGCCTAAAGTATCCGCGAGCATCGCGATGACTTTAATGTATCATCCGTGAATAGCGGGCCAGTGCATAAATTACAAAGCAACGGTACATTTATCTCGCTTTTACGAGTGCATAGCGACACGAAAAGTGAAACCGACGTGATATTGCGTTATAAAACACGGGAATCTAATTTATAGCTAGAGCCCTGGCGCGAGTTGAAATATAAAACGCGTGGTACATTTATGCGATGCGAGGTGTAAGAAACGTCGGTGAAATATCGTTGACCTTCGACAAAGGGTAAAAGCGTACCTTGATACCTCGAAGGCGAAATATTACTTTATGAATCACGGTGAATTTCGAAAATCCCGCAACGATAAATCGCCCCGGGGACAGAGACGTAGGTATAGATCGGCAAGGTGGAAACACCGAGCCGCGGGATATAGCCAGGAAATCGATAAGCACCGGTTTAGAACGCAAAGATCGATATCATCGATCAAACGTATCGGTGTATAAATGATACACCTACGATATTCGCGTCATCGACCGTGGTATCTTCGAAAATCGTTCTTCCCTGTCTGATTGCGTCGGTGACCGACCGATCCGTCTGGAAAAGTACCGATCTGAGATAATCGCGCGAAATTTTTGAAAAAGCAAACGCCACGCGTGTTATCTCGATGCAGTTTGTATCGTGGAGAACTTGGAAAACGTGGAACGAAGACTGGTATCTGGTAGAATCGTCTTGGGATATGTCAAAGTCGCAGGTACGTTGAGACGCCTTTGGCAGACGATGCAGCTGCACTTCCGTTCAATCGATTACGCTGAAACGTGATAAAAAATGAACGTAACAGCGCGATACGTATTCATTTATATCGGGTGTACTAGTAAATCGAATTTTCTGATCAAATTTTTTCGAAAATCCTAAATCTGTACAGGTACTTCTGTAGTATCGCGAATTTGCTGTCATGTACACGTAGCTTTGCGAAAGAGCAAGTCCAGGTCAATTGAGAACCCTGGGCGATGTGTCAGGCTCTTGACATGACCATATTTAGAGAACATATACATGGTGAGAAAGATATATAAAGAAGGTTAACACGTTGACTGCCATGGTGGTCATTATTAACCGGTGTTTGCCTCCTCAGTGGAGCCATAGATGTCACTAGTGTCCGGTGACACTAACTTTTTAAATTTATATTTGTTTTATTCCTCCGTTTTTTGAAAATTTGAACAACGGAAATAAATAGAGAATTTTGAATAGAAGACATTAATAATTTGCACCATTTTTTTTTTTTTTTTTGGCATATTGTTTAATAATTCATTATTGTGTCGTCAGAATAATGAATGCCATGGAAATGTACGACTAGATGCAAGGTTTTGCTAATATTGTTTTGATTCGTGTTCTAATATAAATTTTTAATTGTTCAGTGGCGTACTTTTCACTTCAAAGTATGTTCTAATTAGCAGTTATATTCAAAATGCTGTCAATTTTCGTTCAATTTGTACAATTGTACTTTTAATAGTAGTTCAAACACTCTGGTCACCAATGACCATCCTTGCGCCGTAGTAACGGTTGACAATTGACACTAATTGATAATTTTCATTCCATTTTTACAATTGTAAGTAGTTAAAGCGCTCTGGTCACCAATGACCACCGTGACGTCACATGGGAAACCATGACCGATCAAAATGTTAAATTCAGAATCGATCTAGATTCGTCTAAAAAGATAATTCGTATGTTCAATTATCACTCGCACATAGTTATAATTTATTAATGAATTACCACCACTGTCAATCCCTATACCTCTATATAATTAGTATATTCAATCCTTGTAGCACGTGTGAAAAGAAACATTAAAATACGAAAGTAAGCGTTTAGAAGAGATCTATATAAATATATTTGACACGAGGAGAATGAAAATAATGAAAGATACGTATGACTTACAATATTTCTCTGCACCTTCCCGAGTGATCGATCTTCTGACCCGATGAACACGGAGCTATGGCAGGAGCTTTGATGATAGTCTTGGACCCGAGTTTAGAAGGTTTCTTCGTTTCCTCCTTTTCATCTTTTACGTTATCCTTGTCGTTATCCTTCTGCTTCTCCTGCGGTATTTCGTTAATATTATTCAATATCTTGTACTCGAGGTTGGTCAACCAGCCAGTTTTCTTCGAAACGTGATCCCTCAGCATGTGGATCTCGATCTGTGGCGGTTTCAACTCGGGAGGCATTGCTCTCCATTTGTCTGACACATCCTCGGATGATCTCTCATCGTACGTTTCGAATTTTGATAACGTCGCTGGCAACTGGGCTATCAGGATAACGAGTACACCAAGGCCAATCGTGGATGACACGGTGTACGACCAGTTCTTCATGGCACGTCTGTAGTATTCTCTTCGTAGTCGGATGAACCGAAACTCCCGAGGATCCTCGTGAACTCTAGACAGACACTCGACTGTGATATCGTCAGTGACAGTGCACACCGAGTTTTATTATGTCACCCATGCAACGCGATCAGATAGACTGTCACGATGAGAATCGAACGCGCTGGAGATCCGCGGAAGAGTGTCCAAATCGCGGCAGAGATAGAGGAATAAAACGGATCTTCTGCCACTGATCACGGTTAAAGGAGAACGATCTGGTTCGCGAATCAAGCGTCATTCCCTAGAACATGACCAGCCAAGCATCCGGCCCATAACCGCAATCTTTCGTCATAAACGAGATTAGATTTACAACCCCCACCTCGTCCGTTGATTTTGCTTTTTAATTCGATGCTGACCGACGACGTGTGATAAAACAGTGATAAAGGTGATAAGCAACTGAAGTCATTTTTAAGTCGGTAAACGGAATTCACGGATTTCTGGTTCACCTTAGGAATCGTTATTGGAATCGATTCTACGTGGAATCTACGCGGATAAGTCTGACGTAGGCTCCTATCGCGTTTCTCGTGCATAGGATGGTCTTATTGGAATACGAGATCGTGTGGTTTTTCGTGGATTTTTCGTCTGTCAACGTAACGTTTTGTTTTGATCATATTAATTATTCCGGGAAACTTATCATCGTGGTTTTCCCATGTCTGGTAGATTTGCGAGTGTAGGAAACTATATCGTGTTCGTTGGTTTCGTAATATTTCATTGCGTATGAATTTGCAACGATGCAGTTTTGTTTACGAGTATGCTAATTGTTCTGTGAAACATTTTAATCTTCATCAAATATTACTCGTTATCGTGATTATTTTGTATAGTGTAGATTTATGAGAGAGACTTCCTTAATTTCTCGGTTGTTTTGTAATGTACAGATTGGTAATGATATATATTTAATTTATATGGATATTAGTTATTGTAGAAAATATTTTGTTCCTCGAGTAGCAGTTGTCACGGTTCTTCAGCTTTGTGTAAATCTGTGAAGGCAACAGATCACTTCGCAATTTAATGACATTTTTCGTATATTTTCTAGCTAAATAGTACTTTTTGTCGCAATTCTTTCTAATAAATGATATGTATTTAATTTATATGGATATTAGTTATTGTAGAAAATATTTTGTTCCTCGAGTAGCACTTGTCGTCACGGTTCTTCAGCTTTGTGTAAATTTGTGGATGCAATAGATCACTTCGCAGTTTAATGACATTTTTAGTGTATTTGATAGTGAAAGAGTACTCCTTGTCACAATTCCTTCTAGTAAACGAGTAATTATAGATATTCTTTTATTCAGCTCCTTGACACCAGAAATCTGTTCAGCCGTATTTATTTTGACATAATAGCAGTGATAGGTGAAATTATGAAGATTTTGGCATTCGGCTAATTCGTCCAATAATCTCATCCATAATCACTGTCCTCAAAATATTGTATTAGTTAAGAAGTAACAGAGGTATTGGAATAAACGAAGGCTTTCTTGATTTTTAAATTATCGTACTTCGAATCCTTCGTGGCATTAACTAAATCTCCTCGATAAAATCGATCCGTCGAGGTAACAAAAATATTCAACAATTGACAACAATTATATACTTTAAGAAATCCCGATAAAAATTGTCAATAAGTGTTTCCATGAATCCTAATGTAAATAATATTAAATTTATATATATAATATTTATATATGTATTATGTATGTATGTATATAATTATGTATGTAATTAATATTTATTTCCTGTAGTGAAATTTTAAGACGAAACCTTTGATCTTTTCTTTTAACTTCTTGCATTTGGTAATTCCAGATTTCCCCGCTCGATGAATAATACCTAGCGTATTTTCATTTACTATCTCACGGTTTGATAGCATTATCAATCGTTAAACGCTTAAGATGGCCAGAGTAATCCCCGCCAGTCGAAGGTTCTTCGAATTCTCCTTCTCTAATCCTCGTGGAAAGTCGTCGTTACCGTCTGTTCGCGTGATTAGTCTAATTATGACACAATCACGATGAATCTAACCGAATACTTAAGTATCGTATCTCGAATGGAAATTAAAGGAAATTCCTAGGGATAAATCCTGATACCTCGGTCAACTATCGACCCTGTTCTCAACTGCAACGATACCTTGCAAGCGAATTTCAATTTGTAAGCAGCTTTCCGTCACCCCGTTCGTTTGTTCCGTTTAATTCCACGCCGATCAATGAAACTCCAAGATACATAGCTGATAAAGCGGAACAGGCAGGCGGAACAATAGTCGTCGAAGATTATAGCGAGTAGGCCCTCATCGTGCTTTACCTCGAACCATGTTTTTGGAAGAATGCATGTACGAGAGTTCTAATCTCTCATCAAGATTGCTTTCTGATAAATATAGCATTGCGAAGGTGGGTAAATATGTAACGCGAATTTGTTAAGTGCTCGAGACAAATTAGTTAGACAAAATCGAGTTAAATTAATTAGATAAAATTTCTTTAACTCTTTAAACTAGTGTCTATAATAGTGAATCTATAATAGTAGTATAATACTAAATTGCTATCTACAGATGATCTTAATTAAATATAACGGGGATAAAAATAAAATGGATTTGGTAGAGCTAGGAATCATTTTATTGGATATTTTGTTTTCCATGGGGGAATATTAAATTTTAGAGTCTATATAGATATTATAGAGTCTCATATTTTTTTAACAATAAATATATAATAGTAGTATAATACTAAACTACTATCTACAGATGATCAGACAAATTAGTTAGGTCGAGTTAAATTAATTAAATAAAATTTCTTTAACTCTTTAAACTGATATCTATAATAGTAAATCTATAATAGTAGTATAATACTAAACTACTATCTACATATGATCTCAGTGAGATATAACGGGGATATAAAAATAAAATGGATTTGGTAGGGTTAGGAATCAATTTATTGGATATTTTGTTTTCCATGGGGGAATATTGAATTTTAAAGTCTATATAGATATTATAGTCTTATATTTTTTTTGATATTATATTTTAGAGTCTCATAAAATATTAGAATAGTCTTTAATTGTAATTACGTATACATACGCTCCTGAGTATCTTGGAATTAGAGAATCAAAGAATAATTTTGAGAATCTGTTACAAACCGACTGATGTGTTTATTTAACGTTTCTCGTGTAATATAAAATACAAAAGTGAAGTAACGTAATGGACAAAATCAATTAATTAGAAAATTTTTGATATTGACAGATATTTTTAAAATACAATATTCGTTAATTCTTGTGTCAAAAATGGAGTACACATATATATTCGATGCCATAAAAGTCTATTACAAAATATCGAAATATACTTTAATTCTAATTACGTATACATACGCTCCTGAGTATCTTGGAATTAGAGAATCAAAGAATAATTTTGAGAATCTGTTACAAACCGATTAATGTGTTTATTTGACGTTTCTCGTGTAATATAAAATACAAAATTGAAGTAACGTAATGGACAAAATCAATTAATTAAAAAATTTTTGATATTGACAGATATTTTTAAAATACAATATTCGTTAATTCTTGTGTCAAAAATAGAGTACACATATATATTCGATGCCATAAAAGTCTATTACAAAATATCGAAATAGACTTTAATTCTAATTACGTATACATACGCTCCTGAGTATCTTGGAATTAGAGAATCAAAGAATAATTTTGAGAATCTGTTACAAACCGACTGATGTGTTTATTTAACGTTTCTCGTGTAATATAAAATACAAAAGTGAAGTAACGTAATGGACAAAATCAATTAATTAGAAAATTTTTGATATTGACAGATATTTTTAAAATACAATATTCGTTAATTCTGGTGTCAAAAATAGAGTACACATATATATTCGATGCCGTAGAATACATTGTCATAAAAATATAGGGAGTCATAGGTCTATTAGACAATGTTTAAAACTTTCCTGCAATTTCCCTTATGATCTCGCTTCATACCTCTGGGGCATTTGTTCCTGCAGCCTTGGACAATGCAACGTCTTCCTCGTTCGATCGAGTCATCCGTCATTTCTTTCATGTAATTCCTTTTCTTTGGAGTCACCAATGATTTCTCGTTATCGTCATCCGGGAGCATGTTTTCCATCCTGTTGGCCTGATCCATTGCGTGATCCGTGGGCTCGTCACCTCCGAATATCAGTTGTCTGGCATGTGACAGCCAAGCAATTTTGCTCAGAGGTGGCACGTCACTTTCCGGTTCATCGTTGACCTTCTCAGACACTGTCAACCTCGCTGACAGTTGGACAGTGAGGATAATAAAAAGGAGACTGGTCAGACTCGATATGCAGAACGACTGACTCTTCATACTGATTCTTGACCTTACAGGTGACCAATGATTCCTCAATTTCTAGAATTTTCTCTTAAATTTTGATGCAACGAAAGGATGATCTCTCGATGTGGTAATATATAGTATTCTTCACTGTTGCACGTAATTTATTTGAACGTACACAGAGAGTAGGTTTGGATACTTGGGAGATTTAGGTGACACTGTTTAAGGAGTGACGAACGAGAAACTGGTCTTTGGCAACTGGTCGATATTAAAAATATGGAAATTCAGAATGGACCTCCGAGTTCCGGTTCTTAACCGCGATATTCCATCATGATAAACCTAGATTTGTGTATGTAGCTTCCTGAACCTTTCTCTTCTACCCCTCATCCGCATTTAGTGGTCCACTTGTTTTATCCCCCACTGAGCTGCACGTTGATTGGCAGGATGTAGCGGCGAGCTGACTGATAAAGTAGAACTACAGCTGATAAAAGACGCAAATAGTCTTTAATCTCACTGAAAATTCTCAAACTCGGGATTGATCTTGCTATTCCATCGTTACACATTCGCGTGAGTTGCATGGAGATAAACGAAGTGGCTGCTTTTGATCTGAAGACACCTATTCGTTTACTGTCAAATCGAATCTAAAACTCTAAAAATTGTAAAAATCCAAAAATTTTTAACTGAGGTCAGGAGAGTTAAGGTTAGTCCAGATTCACTAGCTCCTTTTCCTGATCTTTTGAACAAGGCCTGTGCAATTTAATGACCAGTTCCATCAGGTGTAAATTACATAACATCGCTAAGAATTGAATGATGCAAATCAGAAGAAGGACACTGGTTAAACGATGTCAATTTCTTCATACTATCTCTGGCTTTGACAATTCTCATACACTTTACGACTGCTGATAATCCGAATGATAGCAAAGTGTTCGTGACAGTAACTGTTCTTCCCTACTGTGTTACTCGGGGCAGTCCAATTTATCAGATAAAGAGAATAAAGTCGAAAAGGCACGGATAAAAGTGTCTAAACCAGCCTAACCGAGATCGAGCTGCAGAACAGGTCCTCGGAGTACCATAGATCTACTCCCTAGACAGAATACTTCCAGTCGTAAATGAATTTCGGTTTATAAGCACTTTTCCGTGACCTTGCATCCACTATTTCCTCCCAAACAACCGCTAATAAACGACCTGTTCCTTAATGATAGTCAAAAGCCACTAGTTCGTTACCGTTTAGGCGAATCATTCTTTCCTTTGTTGAGTCACGAGGGAATCTTACGATCCTTGCTTCCGCCATTTTTATTCCTCTAGAAATGGGTCTGCGTGGACGAGGTTTGCGTATAAAAAGGAATCGCGTTAAATCATTTTATGCTTCTGTTCTACGGTTTTACACTTTTATTCCTTAATATACTTTATGTTCGTTTAATCGAGGCAGATCACGAGTGCTTTCTACGATCGCCATAAATATCCGATCTGCAGCTTTCGTTGTACTTTAAATATAAGTATTTCCCTGTTTTATTTTTAATACGTGGAATCCGGAATGGTGAAATGGTCGATTTCGATCAATACTCGAACACGTGTTGTATATGTACATTTACACTTTCGACGCGATTTTCGTCTGTGAAAAATCGCGCTGAAAGGGGTGAAAAATAGTGACGAAAGTGCAGATTGGAAAACTTATTGTAGAAATGTCGTGGAGGTTATTAAGATTCGGGAAATTGGTCGAAATGTAGGAAGCGGGGTTCAAGGGACGAAAGGGGGGGTTGAAAGAGAAACGAGAAGGAAATATAAAGAGAGGTAAGAATCGAGGGGGTGGAAAGGCAGGATGAGAAAATGGGGAAGGTTACAAGAGGAAAATGACAGAGGACAATGCCAGACTGGGAATGGAAAATGGTGGAAAAGGGAGAAAGGAAAATTTTCATTGTGACTGGATAATAATAGTATTATCAATCTTATTGCAAATAATAATATATTATTATTAAGTTGTAAAATAAATTTGTAATAAAATGACACTTCGTACCTTCGATTTTATAGGATATTTATTTATTATTTATTTATTATTAGGATATTTATAGGAATTGGAATTTAATTGGAATATTGGAATATACAATAGGAATTTATAGGAATATTTCGTAATTGGCTTTACCTATCTTTTTCTTTTCTCTTCTTTTTGTTAAAATTACGTAGAAACCTTATGGGGGTTTTCAAACGATTATTTATTATCTAAATCTATTTTTCTACAAACTTCTTAACCATTTTGTCGTTAATTATAATTATCACGACTTAATTCGTAAACAGTTGGTAGGTACAAAATTACTCAGAATTTAAGTCGTTAATATCCTATTTATTATTCATCAGCGCTATTTTATATCGCTACTATACTAACTCTCTATTAATTTAATAATTTTCCAGTAGTGAGGAAAAATGAATTAACAATGCTTCTAGAGAATTTTTCGATTCTCTGCTAGTTCAACTCAATTAATTTCCTTTCATTAATAGGCAAGAGATAAATAAAAGGAAACGAATTATCGAATAGCTATATTCGTTTTATACCTAAAATAATTATCGACAGTTACAGTTAGTTAAGTCGATTGGAGTTTTTAGCGAATTTTACGATAAGTCGTTAAAGGGAATAAAATCTGGAACGCGCACGGGCCCTAAGTTATCGCAGGGCTGACAGAAAAATGGTGGCCATGACGCGGAGCGAATTCGAAATTCCGTGATGGCGTTCGACCAACCGAGACGACCACGCGTCCAACTGGATCGCGTTGCTTTCCACTGCCATAAATTCGAGACGGGTCGTCCGTCGTTCGACGAAAATTATTTCAAACTGCCTTATACCCCGACCGTTTCCGAAACGATACTCCACGTTTCGATCAATCGACCGAGCAATATTTCCTCGCACTGTCACTCCATCGACAAGTGCATCCATTTTTCCTTTTTTCCTCTTGACGTATGTTCATATCGCAATGAAACTGGACTCTTTCCGTTTCCACCACGTGTTACCAGGTTGATATCTTTCGATGATAGATATCATTGGCTGACAGAATGCAATTAATACTAATTCCAGTGGAATTTTCAGGGAATTCTTGTAGCCAGAATTTTGGAAATATTTTTAGGAAACAGTTTCTCTGTAAAATTCGCAGAAAATTGGCTCAAGATTGACAATAATGATTATGTTAAAATAAATTTCTTCTTTCAAGGATACATAGTAATTGTTTTACTTATAATTTACAGAGCCTTGACCAATTGCACAGTTTCATAAAATTTGAAAATGTTTATCAACTATTGTTAAAAATGTTAAAATTAATAATTTAAATTTTATGAAACTGTGCAATTGGTCAAGGCTCTGTAAAATGTTGAAAATGTTTATCAACTATTGTTAAAAATGTTAAAATTAATAATTTAAAAGTTCATTGAAAGTGATTATCTTTTTATGGAGGAGAGTTATTAATTATGTTGACTTCGATATAAAGTAAGGTATATTCAGTTATGGCAATATTGCCGTCATGTTTGCACACTCGTTTCATTTATTATTCCTTATCTTGGTAATAGGTACTTGAATTGACAACTCCGTGTCACTTGAAAAGTCTGTGGAGACTTTCATATCGAAAGAAAACTAGCTAGAAAAATACGCGTTTATCACAAATTACCAATACCTAGATCCTGATAACGCGATCTAGAATCTCGATCTCGATACCGATTTTTTACGATAAAACAAACGCGAGCTCGTTCCTTTCTTATGCAGTCTTGGTTGACCTAAAATTTCTGATCTCTAATATATTTGACAGACAAAATTCTGATTATTTAATAATTCTTAAATTTTACACTCTCATTTGCATACAAAATATAATGAAAGTCCGCGAGAATTACAATTCGCGTTTAATAACTCGCAGAGTTATGCCTCTGTCATCATGTGCTGTCAAATTATTATACAACTTACGTGCAAGTAAAATAATTTTCAACAATTTTTTCAATTTCATTTCGTGACTCGTGATTTCGTAAAATTTCATAAAATCGACCACGAAATTTATAAATTCGCGTTGTGAGTGGAGAAACAGTGACAGCAGATTTCCTATAACTATTTACTTTCGTTAATGACGAGGTTTCAGCGATTAAAATCCAAAAGCCTGACAGGTAGAGTCACTGTTGGAGCCAAAGGAAGCCTAGTTTCTTACTCGATACTGAACGTTCATCGGATCTCTGTGTCATCATTGGATCTCTGTTAGGTCATTTCATCGTTGTTGCGTTAGCCCAGATCAATCGGTTTAATCTGACTATATAGACTCCGTCTAATCGCGCTGAGATTAAGGATAAATCTGGAATTCGATTGCCAGCATCGATCAGCAACTCGCAAGAAACGCGATGAGGATCAAGTCGATAGGTGCGCCATATTTAATGAACGTATTTCTAATCATTCTTATGTAATAATATATTATCTAACTCTGATGAGCTCTGAAAACAGGTTTCTTCTTTGTCATTCTCCTATTCCTATTTTATCCCTGCTATTGTACACCTATCACGAGAATATTTGAAAGAGTTAATAAATAAAATTTCCTTTATATATTTGTGCAATTAAAATTGTAAAAATGTTGGTAATCGTAAAAAGCTGTCATAAGTAAATCATAAATTTCTGTCATAAGCTGTCATAAATTTATTCAAAGAATAGATTGTTTCTTACATTTTGCATACTTTTATAGTTTTGTATTTACTGAATTAAGGGACACGTTGAATATAGATATAGATATTGTCTTATTTTATTGCATTTAATATTAAAGTTACCAGGTCAGGTATAATAGAACTAGTGTCATATTTTATTGCTGAGACTATTGGAAACGTGCGACTGTTTTTGAGTCACGAAGAATCAATATCGAATTTTATCGTGATAGAGATGTAATTATACGTAATTATAATACGTAATATTATACGTAATTATTATACGAATACTTACTCGCCTGTTAAAAAATCCACAAAATGATTACTATTGTAGGGACGTGTATCTCTAAAAAGAGAAAAAGACAGTTTTCCACGCATAACGACGGCAGGAGTCCCGAGACAATGGGGGGCCTGGTTTATGTCTTTACGACCACCCCCCATGACCACGACGCGTTGGGCTAGGTCGAAAAAAGAGCAGCAATTAGTTAGCGACGAGAGTGCGGAGTGGAGCATTTTCGAGAACGAAAATAAACGCTATTAAAATCAGATATCGTGCCTTCGATTACTTAACACCACTTGCTCTACGATTTAACTTTTGGTTGCCGTGTCTCGCTCTACAATATAACATGCGGTGAGGCGTTACATTGACACTGCACCGTGTCTGCGGGCTAACTGTTAGCCGACGTGGCGGACACGTCGTTTTTGTTTCTGCGACAAATGCCTATCGACGTGGTATACACGTTGCTGACGGCTTTGGAACAAAAGCATCTCGACGTGCGTGACACGTCTTTATAGCGCAAGTGGTTAATCCCCCCTACGATAATCCCTTCACTATTATTTTCAATCAAGAAAAATGAGCTCCCTCAAGAGCTGATTCTTGAAGATTCCTCCGCACAAAAGTGTCTACTCCGCGTCCATTTCATCCATAAACCGGTATCGCGTGTGAAACACGCTACCTAACATACCCAATCAATTTTCCCGCCGAAGTATCGTGTAAAATTGCTATAACAGTCTGCAACCGCGGGTCTCCCAGCCGTCTACTAACGAACGCGTCGATGCGGAATCGAATTGGCGCGAATCGAAAGTCAGTTCAAACGCGAGCATCGGCGCAATGCGGTGAGATAGAAAAGGGGGAAAAAATGTGGGAAAAATTCATACGCAAAACCGTAAATGTCGTTTACCAATGTATCGATCCACGCAACCGTCCAATTAAACCGCAACGTTCGATGCAACTAACGCAACGTTCCGAAATTGCAGGTGGCGTGGAGAAATCGCAATACGGTCAGCTGCCAAAGCAAATACTCAGCAGACACGGATTCGAGGGATGTCTCGCCTCGTTGGACCTGAGCGGCGAGAGTACCAACCTGATTTCCGACGCCGTGGTGCCCAGCTCCCTGGTGGAACCCGGCTGCGACATGTACGCGAACCTGTACCCCGGGAAAAAGTGCACGCACGACCTCTGCTCCAACCATGGCACCTGCGTGCAACAATGGAACAGTTACACGTGCGATTGCGACATGACCAGTTTCACTGGGCCGACGTGTAACGAAGGTAAAAACGCGTATTTCACGGCTGCGATCGATCATCTTGGTCGTTTGCGTTTTCATGGTCGAGGAGCCCGTTATCGGTTGGGGTATGAACAAAAAGCGGATGATCCTTCGTGCAAACACGCGCTGCATTTGTTCTTGCTTTTATCCAAGGATTTCGCTCCTACCTTCTCAGACCTGTTTGCCTTGTCGAGATGTATTTATCCCTCTTGTCCCTGTTTGTTTGCCCTGTCAGGTGGCTGATAGAAGTTCCCTGCTCCCCTCTTCTTCACATGGGTTATTATTTTGTTGAAATTTTTCGAACGTGGGGTGTTCCCCTCTGTTTCTTTATGATTTATTTTGTAGCTAGAGGGGTGTAAGAGGAAAGAGAATTTTGGGATATGTGTACCGGGTGGTCCATGTAAGTCGCACACTTCGAATTTTATTTTCTTATTTTATTTTAATTATATGATAAGTTATTTTCGGTAAATGGATAGAGAAATGAACCCTTAGATTTAGCTAGCTCTTAAGTAGTTTGTTTAATTTATAATTTATTTGAAACCCCATGCTGTGAATATTTCGAAACGAAGGGTATGTGACTTAGGTCATTTATATAGTTAGAAAATTGTCATAGTGTAAAAGTTCTTATTATTTTATTGAAATTTTTCAAACGTGGGGTGTTCGAACTTTATGTGATAAATTATTCATAAATTATATGATATTATTTTATTTTAATTATATGATAAATTATTTTCTGCAAATGGATAGGGGAGTGAACCCTTGGATCTAATTTTTAACTTTGTCCTGAGTAGTTTGTTTAATTTATAATTTATTTAAAACGCCATGCTGTGAATATTTCGAAACGAAGCGTGTGTGATTTAGCTCATTTACATAGTCAGAAAATTGTCATAGTGTAGAAGTTTTTCGAGGTGTGCAAGTATCGAAGAGATAAAGTGTTCTTTTAAGTTGGAGAAAATTTTGGAAATTTTTGTTAGAAGTTTTTACGAACTCTGAGAAAATACACTCGGGATAGTGATGCAATATGGAACTTGTACCGAGTATGTTTCACGATGTAACTGGTTTCGTTGTCACGCACAGCAGGTGAGCAACATCTGCGCTTTTTTCAAGGAAAATATGGATGATTGTCTTATTAAGGGAATATATTAAATCTCTGTCATCCTAAGTCAGTTGACAGGTGTGCTGTTGAAAATATCTAAATATCTCGTAACTTCTGCCCAAAGAGTTTATTAAAACAACAGCCTTTCTTCGACGCTCTGTTATTTTAATATAGAAAATTCTTTTATGAAGACTTTGCCATTCAAAGCTGCGTGACGAGACGAAATAAAGTTCCCGGTTTTATGAGGTGCTCTGTATCTGATTACTCGAATCTAGAGCACTCGCGCTGAGTGGTGGCAACGCTTTTACTGGAAAAATATATGTCATGCACCGAATATTTTAGGAAAAGATAACATGCTCGGAAAGTTCTTATGATAGCGTTATTGACGTCGGTGAAGAGACACTCGTGGTGGTAAGAGAGTTCACCTAGGAAATGGAAATTTTAGAATTACCATTACATTCATGATATATACTTCCTTTCCCTTGTAATTTATTTATTTTTTATTTTTAACATCAATTGTATTTAATTTAATTCTTCCCTTCCGACATTTTACTCTTTATCATGGGGAATAAAGGGAATGGGCAAATTTTAAGTTTGACCATCTTAAATGTGAGAATTAAAATGAAGGTACTTATATCGTAGATGTAAAATTCTTAGTTTGAAAATGAAATATTGGGTATCGATTAATCTTCTAATACAGGAATTAAAATTTAATTTATTAAATTTAGAAACCTATATTATTAAATATAATTTAATATACCTATTTCTTTATTCATTTTTAATGAAATAGTATGGATTATCAAATAAATAAAATTATACGTTGGAAAGTAGTGGAAATATTTAAAATACTCGGATATTTGTAAATATTAGTAAATTATACATATTAATGTTTGAAATTAAATTTCTCGCACACTCGATAAGGAAGTTAGCAAATTACCTCCCACATTCATATGCAAATAACGAAACCGCGTGTGCAATTACGGCAGTTGTAAGATCTATGATAAATCAATTTTTTATTCGTATCTATCTCGTTGATTCTCACTGAACTATGTTGAAACTAGAAGCAATTAAGATAATAGCTTCGCGTTTAGCATAGATTACTAGATTATTCAACGCATAGTAAAAAATTGCAGCGGTTAGCACGGTAATTGAACACGAGAACAAATTGCATTGCTATTTTGAAACAGAAGTATTTCTCGACGTAGTATATATCGTTCGCTATACATTTGTTATCATTAGTATGAATAAAAAATAAGTTGAAACGGGAATATATCATTCAGTATTTTACTTCAAATTTCGAATTAATTTAGCTTATAATTTATTATAGCTAATCATCTATAATCTAATGATAATTTATTGAAGCAATTTTATTACTATGAATATTATAATTGTTAATTTTAGAGTATTGTATTATTTAGAGTATAGTTTATTAAATTTATTAAATTTGTATTTCTTTGACTTATCACTTACAATTGTTTTATTGCAGAAGCTACGGCGTACGAATTTGGAGCAGGAAGAGGAATTATCACGTACACCTTCCCGCCGAATCAGAGACCGGAAATGAAGAGAGACACAGTGGCGTTGGGCTTCGTAACAAGTGTGAACGACGCTGTGCTGCTCAGAATTGAATCTGCTTTAAGCAACGACTATCTTGAAATTGAAATTGTTAGTAGAGAAACAGTAAATTGGATAATGATTCATAAGATACTTTATAAGACTTCGTTACGTCGATTTTTATAAGATAAGAGATTTGTAATTTTATATATAAATTGTATGATAAATTATATATAGTATAGATGTAAAATTCCAAACTCTTTCATTGTAAATATGTTACTTAATATGTTAAGTAATTTTATTATTACAGTAGCGTAATATTTAAATACATATAGACAAGTAATTTAGAATGGATATTGTATAATATTTTATGCCTGACGATATTTTATAATGGTTATTTAGAGCAATATGTTAAGTAGTTCTAAAAAAGTTTTGAATAACTTTAGATATTATAAGGTTTCAATGTTAGATGGGAATGTTAAGTAAATTACGCTTTAGTCGTCATTACATACAGAAAGAGAAAAATATTTAATAATATGTTAGTTAAGAAAGATATTCGATATATAGGCAAAATATTAAACATACTTAAAAATTTGATTGCGTTATGCTCAGACTTAAGCTCATGTAATTTGATTAGTTATGCTAGGAACGTTAGTTAGTCAATTAAGTAACTACTAAATTACATAGAATTCTATGATTTCTGTTAGAGTAACAAATAATATTTGCATTAGAATTAAGAAACTTACCAAATCAATTAAATTAATGAAAATAAATACAGTAGAACAGAAATTTCAATTTTGCAAAGGACATAAAACCTACAAAAGTACCAAAATAGGAAAAATATAGAAGGTATAAGAAGCAATGTAGAATAATCTCAAGTACACCATGAATATTTCACTTTTCACCAAAGTATATACAATATTACTAAATCAAAACAGAGTAAAGAACTGCAAGCTTCAATCCAACACATAGATAGTAAAAATTCCACTACAAAACCTTTATTCCTGCCAAAATTTGAATTCTGAAGCACCTGTTGCTAATTTAGAAAATACTGTAATTATTAACTACTCTAAGAAGAACAATCATTACCCAGTACCAACAAAATAGCCGTAACAAATAAAAATTAGCCACATTCGAACAAGAATCAATTCGAATAGAGAAAATATCGTCACACATAGAATTTTACAAAATTTCCATCGAAATTATTCCTCCAGTTTCGTTCATGAGTTACCAAACAGGCAACAGTAACAAATTTACAATTAAAGTTGTAACAATATCCATGACCGACACAACTGTTCACCGTCATTTACTACAACCTTGCAAACTGTTTTCAGGTGGAAGGAAACGTGCTCGCCGTTTACAACATGGGCATGAGCGATCATCCAGTCGGCGAGGTCGGCGTGAAAGTGAACGACAACCAATACCACGTGATAAGATTCACCAGAATAGGACCAAACAGCACGTTACAGATCGACGACTACAACCTGCAGTCCAACCACCCATCCGGTAAGTGATCCACTCTTCCTTTCATTTTCATTTCGTGAACTACGTGACGGAATATAGCAACAATTTTCACCGGATTTACGCTCGTCAAGCTTAACTCTTAGCACGTTGACCACGCGAGCGTGATCACTGGTTAATCCGCGGTTCGACGCACGATTAACTCCTTATTGACATTCCAATCGACTGTTCGTGTTTCGTGCAATCTGTTGCACCTGGTATAATATAGTATCCAATTTATATAATTCAAACTGGAGTTTCAGCTAATCTGTACAACGATCTTTGTGCTGTGCATTGTCCAGAAGATGACTCGCAAGATGGGACAACAACGAGATGAATAGTAATAAGAACTTGCACCATTCAGGGACACGTTGACCTTGACATGAGTTAATATTTAAACCAATAAGCAAGACTCCTACGTTTGTATCCCATTTTTCATTCATTTCTCATTTTTCATTCATCCCTCAACGAAGGTGAACGCACGTATCTCAATGATCAGTCATCTTTTGAGCAGTGCATGGTACAAATTTGTATAAACGAGGAGTTAAATTCTTCCCTAGAGACAACTGATATATTTAATCTCGCAACTTCGTAATTTTGAATATTCGATTTGGTCTACACAATTTTCTCTCGCGAGCACAAAAGGGAGTGACGTAGTCCAGTCACGTAGGATGGTAGTTGAATTTGAATAGGAAGGAAGTCACACGTTTATTTTCTTCTTACAGCGTAGAGGTACGCGTTTCGAAAGAGAAATGTCGGAGAAGGGAGTTGGTATACTAACGACACGGCAACCGAAGAGCAACTGAATGGGACTGTAGTCTCTGGGTCCCTTTTATAAGCTTGGCTCTGACGATCGGTCCCAGGACCGTGAGAAACTGTCGGCAGTAGGTAGTAGGGCGAACGATCCCACGAGTTCTCAGCGTTTTCGTGGGTATCGATGATTGGCCGGGCCTCGTGCTCGTCGTGGGAAATTGATTATGATTCTCGAGAAAGCCTGCAACCATTTAGCTGGTCGTAATCGTCGAGCGGTTCGTTGGGAACCTGTTGAACTCATTTGGAGAATGGGAGATGGTATATAACTGTTTGCTAGGAAGAAATAATAGTCTAGGAAGCTAATATCTTCATTCATTTTGATCTTCAATATTTCTTTCTGATTTTTCTTTCTGATCTTAAGATAATTAAATTTCAAATTTATAAGGTTAAGGATGACTTGTAAATTTATAATTTAAGGTAAATAGGAGATAGTTAGTCGAGTGATATTATTGAAGATAGGGTGTCGAGCGTGGGAAAACACGAATGTATAGAGGAACGTGGAGTTTCCATTTTGTCGGGAAAATTCAGCAGGTGTAGAGTGACTCCATTGGAGGATAGCTAAGCCCTTCAAGGCGGGGCCAAAGACACTTTTGGAAAGTACCTCTGTCATATTCCTGTCGTTCTGCTTCTTAAGAACCCGATAATTAGCTTTCACTTTTTCCCATGGGTCATGAACCCACGAAGTTAACCCAGAATCCTAAGGACCCTGCTATTTGTATTTATTCCACGTGTCATTTCGTTCTCTACATTTTTTACTCCTTAACATCTGTTTAGAAATTAGAGAATTAACCATATGGTAACATTTCTTAGATATGGTGACATTTATTTATAGGATTCCACGAAATCAATTATGGATAGAAATAAAAATAAGTAGCTTAGAATTATTTTAACGTGACACCAAAGATTCTGTCAAAAAATTAAGAAGATACCATAGAAATACTGTAAAAATAATTAAATAGTTCATAAAAATAATATAAAAATTTTAGAAGATAGAATTGTAAATAATAAATGTAATATAAATAATTAAAAATTATTTGTATACATCGCGAAGAATTCTATCGATCATTTTAAAAGAAAATGAAGATCCTGAAAGAAAAGTATGAGGAATGAACGAAAATAAATAATTAAAAATTATTGCAATAAATCGCGAATTATTCCATCAACAAAAAGATAATACTTGATAATTATTTTAAAGAAAAATATCATTTTAAATGTAATTAAATTAACGATACTTAGTTAGAATATTCAGACTTGAATATTTCATGTATCATCGACTGAATCACAAGTAAATTCTTCGTTCATTTTAATTACTCTGTTATCGTCCATCTCAACGACCTCGATGGAGGCAGCAGCCATTGAGCGGAACGAGCCTATGGTTCCTCCAAAGTTCCTCCAGGAACATACCTACGGGACTTTTCTGCTTTCCTAGCCCCGGAGGGCATGTTAATTGGCTCGTAGGTTTTTAACCCTTGCCCACATAAATCGTTGTCACGGAATTTCAACGGTTGGCCCGGGGACTTGCTGGCCTTTTCTAACAGCCTACTCCGTTCTTCCTCGCTAACGAAGCTTTTTCATCGCTCGACCGACCTGTTCCTCGTGCAATTTCATCCGTCGAATTAGTCGACCAAGTATCGTGCTCCTGCGACGTTGTGGTTCCCTGGAAAACGATCTATGGGGAGCGATAAATCGTCGTTCGTTGATCATCTTCGAGCTAACCCGTGTCATACTCGTGCCACGCCTCAACGGCCACGTGGGTCCCGAGCGTTTGGAAAATTTGACACTCCCCGCTACTCGGCTTCTTAGATTTTCTGGCAGCCTGGCATTAGAAGGACAGTTAATTGGCTTTCACTTTTTTCCCACTGTCAGTCACACATTTTGGCCATCAGATTTCTCCATTTTCTGCTACTCTGCTAACCGCTGGCTTAGCGTTTCCTTCCTTTTACGTGGACTTCGCTGTCGTTTCGCGTGATTTGTACGTAGGATCGCGTAGCCTGGGCACGCGTTAGAGGACGTAATTACTATTTGAGCTTCGTCGACGACGCTTCCTGAAATTTCTGTTGCCCGTTCGCCGGTGTACTCGAATGACGTCTTATCGTGAGATCGGAGGCTTAGAAGGGCTTAGAATAGCTTAGAAACGGTATAGATTCCTAGTAACTTCTCCTTGGAAAAGCCCTTTCACTTTTGCTCGTAGAGGAGGAACGTTGATGAGATAATTCGAAGGTGAAGGTACAATAATCGAAGGCAAGTCGAGTTAGGTGCGAATTAAAATTTCATTTATCTTTAGGTGCGAATAAATTTATTTATGGCAGATTTCTTCGTATGCTAACATACATTTATATTCCTATTATTCATTTTTATATTTTTTTATATTTGTATTAGACAATTATATATATCATGTAATTTGAGTAATGTAACTATTATATGTATATAATTGTCTTCAAATGCGAAAGTAAATATATGTTGGCAGACGAAGAAATTTGGCATAAGAAAAACGATAAAAGGTATTGTAATTCGTACCTAAATCGACTTGTCATCGATTATGGTATTATAATCGATAAATGGCATTATAATTCGTATTATAATTCGTACCTAAATC